TGAGCCAAAAAAATTCTGTTGCTGAGACATTTGTTAAGTGATTTTTTTTCTTGCTGCAGTTATTAAGTGAATCACTGCAGTTGTTGAGTCAGTAACACAGTTGTTAAGTGAAACTTGCTTCCCCTTTGACTTTGCTTGTCAGAAGGTCGCAAAAGGTAATCACATGACCCTGGGACTCTGCAACCGTCATAAATATGATCAGTTGCCAAGCCTCTGAATTTGGATCATGTGACCATGGGGATGTTGCAACAGACATAAATGTGAAAAAAAGTCATAAGTCACTTTTTTCCATGCTGTTGTAACTTTAAACGGTTACTAAATGAACTGTCGTAAGTCAGGGACTACCTATAACAGAATAAAAAAGTTGGAAGGGACTTGGAGGTCTTCTAGTCCAACCCCCTGCTCAAGCAGACCTTATACCATTTCAGACAAATGGCTGTCCAATCTCTTCTTAAAAACCTCCAAGCACTGTTCTATCCAGTTCATGTTAAAATATCCCCTCCTTATTAATTGAGAGCTAACCTCATTTTAACGGTCTTGAAATTATTGGCTGACAATAATTCCTATTTTTTCCCAACCTTTGTAGGAAGTGCCTCTGAAAATCAGTGTCCAAGCCAGCATGATCCTTCTAGCTCTGGCCAACTCTCATTTCAATGACGTCATGTACGAACTTCAAAGGAATATGAAGACTGGGATGCTCCCGCACCACATGGTATTGACCACTCTGGGAAACCTGGCATCTCACTATGGTATAGCATCCTCTAGCAGTTCTTCCTTCACTGTTGGGTGTTTTGTTTCAAGCAGGAACTGAGCCTTTCTCTCTAGGGCTGGCTGTGCAAACTGGTCCCAAGGAATGATCTGAACCAAATCCTATGAGGTACAGCTTATGAATGAGCCACATTTCAGTAGAAACATTGAAATTTCACTTAAACCTCCCTCCCCCATAAGAGACTTAGTCAAATTCAGAGTGATATAGACCAATTGGTTGCTCAACATTTATGCAATAACAGAGTTAAAATTAAAATTATTTTGACTAAAAAGTATCTATATGTATAGGTCAGTGGTGGCGAACCTGTGGCAAGGGTGCCAGAGGCGGCACTCAGAGCCCTCTCTGTGGGCACACGCGCCGTCGCCCCAGTCCTAGGCCTTCAGCTGGGTTTTATAAAATCTTTTGCACTTTAGGCCTCTGCCGCCATGTACAAAAAAAAAGGTTCAATCAATCAGTCAATTTCAACTTCTCGCGGGGAAAAAAAAGATCTTGCAAAGTTGGAATTGATTGATTGAACTTTTTAGTCCCACCCAGTCTGCTGTTACTACCGCAGCCACGCCAACCCAATGGGCCACACCCACCCAATGGGCCACACCCACCTGGTGCCCGACAATGCATAAGTGGGTTTTGGGTTGCAGTTTGGGCACTCGGTCTCTAAAAGGTTCGCCATCACTGGTATAGGTCAAACATTGAAGCCAACTATGCAATGTACTAAATCAAAAGGGAAATTCTTGCAGCAGTCTTTGTCAATCTAGACCCTGTTTAATTTCTGGATGACTTTTCTAATTTCTCTGTAGCCTTTTTATTACTTTCTCTAGCCTTTTTTTCTTTTTTTCTGGCTCTTATGATCATTATTTTAAAAGCATTGATTCCTGATATTTTCAAGTAATTAGTTAATTTTTATGGGATGTCAGGTAGCAACATTTGAGTAATGACCAAGAACATCATCAGGTTTGAGGGGACTCTAGGCAACGTGACATCAAGACTCCAGCTCCATTCTTCTATTTCAAACTGGCAAGATTGCTCCTCCTCCTCACCCTCACTGTCACCTGTCAGTATAAAAAGAAAAGGTCATGGAATGATATAGCAGTTTAACACATATTGTATTTATATAGCCTGATAGTTGGCTGAATCAATTAGCAAATGCCTTTGAATGGGCAACTAGCTGGAAGAAGTTAACTGGAATAAGGAGAGGCCTGCCTCATATTTCCCATGGTTATCTATGGAGATTCTTGGTCATCCAGGTCATGGTTGTCCCAAAGGTGAACCCAGAGATGAAGAAGCTTCTTGGATGAGAAATAAAATGTCTTCAAATAAAAACAAGGAAGTCCAGTTGCCTCGTGAAAAAAGCACCTTTGGGATTTCCCATGGTTGCTTCGCTCATCTAACACACTATATGTATTTTTTTTCATTCTTGCAGCACTTAAGTGTGTCCCATTTTTGTCTTTAACTTTTGTGTATATAAGAATGATTCTAAGGATGCCCATGATAAGCCATATGAAGGAAGCAGTGTGTTACGGTAAGTGAGAGCATATTTCCCTTTTTCATTTAGCCTATATGGCCATTTCTTCCTTAAATGTTAAGGTGCATCCTTTCAGATTTGGGGTCTATCGTTAGTGTTAATTCTCCATTTTAGTCTATTTACTCTAATAGCTAATGGTTAATTAAAAATAATTAACCTGACTTTCCCTCCAGGAACTATTTCAGACTTTTGAGTAGCAGAAGTAGAATTTGCAGAATTTAAGGAAAATAATCTAGAAGAGAGTCTGTTAGGACAGGGGTCCCCAACCCCCGGTCCGTGGACTGGCACCGGGCCGTGGCATGCCAGAAACCGCTCCATGCAAACAAGCAAAGCCCCAGGATGCAGGCAGTACATGAAACCACACCCACTCCGGTCCACAGAAAAACCTCTCTCCACGGAACCGGTCCCTGGTGCTCAAAAGGTTGGGGACCTCTGTGTTAGGAGGCAAATTAACAGTTAGGTAGGTCTATAGACTCTTAACTAACTCTTAGTAAAGGTACGGAAAATGCCCTTCATTTTGACTTGTCCCCCAGTGACAATTTGCCACTCTTTCAGAGACATTCCAGTTATATTCCTGATCTCATCCATCTATTCTATTGGCTTCCTGTTCTTCTACTGCCCCCAGCCTTGACAAGCATAACCATTTGTTCTAGTCTTTCATCAACTTGTACCACATATCTAAAATGTGTGAATTTCTGCTTGATAATCTAGTCTCTATTAGCTTAACATACATTTAAACAAAAACATACAATGGGGTGAATTTTCAGACTGATTCAAGCCTAATCAACCATTCCTTTTTGTCTTGGTTTGCACAATCTCATGCTGGTCTGGGAGCATCTATGTAAGATAAATACCAGCATTGAACAGCCATTAGCAATATTAGCAATATGTCCCCTGCCTCATGCCAGCAGGTTGCCCAGATTTTAATTTGTGTACGTGGAAATGAAAACAACAAAAGCCCAAAGATTAAGATGCAAATCAAATGAAAGAAACTGGAGAAAAAGAACCTTGCTGCAAGAGAAGGCAAATAGTTAATAATTTAGCAGTGACATTTACTATTGTACATTTTGTTGCCTTATTGGTGAGAGGGTCAGCCTGCAAATTTGAATGAATGAATAAATAATTTTCCCTGGTTATCCTATTGTGAATGAACTACTGTACGACACAAAGTAGTTTTTCTCCAAGAAAATCACCTCTCAGGCATTTTGCTTCTTTCTGTTTCATTCACAGTTATGGAAACTTTCTGCACTGCCATAAACTTTTACTATAAAAACTGGAAAATGTGCTCATTCCCCAGAGAGACTGAGGCCCAGCTCTGTGCTCCTGTTATTCCCATCTATCAGTGTCTGGTTAGTGATTGGATGAACGACGAGGAAACAAAAGTAAGGATCTGCCCAATTTATCTTTAGTTCTCTTTTTTTTTAAAAAAAAAAAAATGTGGGTAACCCTGTCAATTATATGCGAATTGGTCTGTTATCAGTCCTGGGAAAACTTTATGCAAGATATTTAAATGAAAAATTAACCTCTCTCTTTGAGATGACACAAGTTAAGTGCTGCACTTTTTAATTTATATTACTGTAATATAAAAAAGTGATGGGAAGAGAAAAATAGGGATAGGAAAAAGCAAAAACCACAAAAGCAAGCAGAGGAAAAAAGAGAACCAGAAAAGCACATTTTTACATAGGCAATTATTTAGCGTAACTTTTAAACACATCCTTAAATTGTCAATTTACTGGATTATACCAAAAGGGACTCATGGCTACACAAAAGAGACATGAAGTTAGAGCCATCAAAAGGAAGTGGAAAAAATTTTCTCCACTCCAATATTCTTTATTGTTTTTTTCATGCCTGTTTATTATTAGTATTTGTAACTCCAGTCAGCAGCTGATTTTCCCTCTTGTTTTTCCTTGGGTCTGAATCTCTGTTCCTCACCAATCAGAGAGCAGGTTGTGACTATGAAGACCAGTGGTTCTCAACCTTTTTAATGCCGCGACCCCAACCGGTCGTAAGCCGAGGACTAAACCGGTCGTAAGTCGAGGACTACCCAACCGGTCGTAAGTCGAGGACTTTCCCTGCCCGGGAGCACCGCGCATGTGTGGTTCCGCCCCCTGCGCCGGCCGAGGCATAGCTGGCAAGCGGCAGAGACGGAGCAGGCCGACCACCAGCTGGCCCAGCCCAAGGGAGGTAAGGCACCCGCCGGAAAAGGGGAAAAATGGCGGACAAAAAAAATGGCGGACAGCCTTGCTTGGCGACCCCCGTGAAATGGTCGATCGACCCCAAATGGGGTCCCGACCCACAGGTTGAGAACCACTGATCAAGACTATCGTATAGTCAGTCACAAATGGGTGCATGGCAATATCACAATCATAAATTTAAAATAAAGGGAGATAGTGTTGCTGTTGTTCTGAACAGATGCCAGGAAGAGGATGGACTGGGGACATTTCTGTCCCTTTTTTGCAGACTCAACTTCCTCCCCAAAGCACAGCTGGCTCAGGAATTCTGGGAGTTGAAGTCCACGAGTCATAAAAGAGCCAAGGTTGACTACCCCTGGTGTACACTGTAAAAATCATAACAGAGAGCCTCAGAAGTATTTTGTTATAATTTGAAGCGTGTATCAAGTGGCAGCCTGACTGTGTTTTCCCAGATCTCTATGCAACAGCTCTTGCCATGACGTTCTTAAGATTGAAGATGTTTGCTTTTCTGTAGGTTATGGAGGCATCGGTGAAAGCCCAGTGGCCAATGCTAGGGGTGCTGGTTCGTCGTACGGAGCAGCAAGATGAAATTATACAGAACATTCCCAAAGTCCTTATGGACAGCAGAGTTCTTGACTCATTCTACATAGCCAAAGTAAGCACTTCCAGCTGTGAGGTGACCAGGGCATGAGTGACTCTCTGAAGCCCCCCCCCCCGATCTAGGAACGAACACAGCTGGTGCACCAGATGATGCTATTAATTTTACTTTAATGGTGAAGTTATGCATGATTGCTCCAATGTACATTGCCTAATAGATACGGTTTCCTGTTTTTAGAAGCTTAACCTTTTTTTGGATGTCTGTGAAGAGTGTAAACCCCCCATTCCAAAGAAGATATTCCAGGCTCTTTGTGACTTTGTATTCAAGCAGGTAAGAAAATGTCCTGTGACATGAACATTTTTGGGGGGGAATAAGGAGATACTGATTGTAACGCCCTGTCAACAGATCCAAGCCATGTGGTTGACCTTTCATGCAGCAAGTTATGATGTCACCATCAAAAAAGCCAAACCAAATAGCTGGTATTCCATGCAAAGTGCTTTCTGTGTGATTTGAATTAATTTTCCATGAGCCTTTCAGAAACATTCAGCTTGGCCCTCTGAATGACAAGCTAGTTTTTCATCAACTGGATACCTCCAAGCCCTCTTTTTTCAATTTTAATATTGAAGCTACTTGATGAAAATTCTAAGACCCTAAAGTGAATACATGGTATCCAATAGAAAATATATAAAAATAATGTTTCCCCCATTGATATGCCTTGCTTTGTTCTAGGTTCTGCCACTCGATACTCCACTACAAAAGAAACCCCAGATGTTTTCACGACAGGACTGGAAACCCAATATCCAAATGACTACTTTGGAAAGGCAGGATTCTGAAGGGGAATCAGCTATGTGTGATCTGGTGGGTAGTACATCGCTTTGTGCTCTGTTGAACCCAGACATGTAGCCTGATTAGAACATTTTACCTATGTAGCCACCTCCAATGGAAAAGATAATAATATGCTATATGGAAAAAATGTTTCACAGAGAATACCAATTTGCAATATTTCTTTTCTTTTTTCTTTCTGCCACCAGCTCAGAGTTCAGTTCAGACCACAATAGAGAATTCTAAATCACATTCAAGGATAGAAATAATTCCAAGTAATATGGTTTTTATGTTGCTTTAATTCTTGATGCCCAGAGTTTGGTATAAGATGAGTGGCTATATAAACATTTTAAATTAAATAAATAAATTTAATTTAAATAAATAAATATTTTTCCCATCACTCTGGAACTTGCTGAGGAAAAAGGCATCTAGTAACTGTTGATTATCCTGAAATCAGTATCAGCGGTTCATTTAATACAACTTCTTCCCAAGTGGGTGAAGCCTTCTCTCAATTTTACTAAAAAAAAAAAAAAAAAAGAGTGAGGAAACTGAGGGACGGATCTCAAGCTCTATCAAAGTTACATAAATCTACAGGACCCCAATAAATCAGAATATAAATTGAATTCTGAACATTGCCCAAGCTAGTACAATATTTGGAAACCAAATTAAATAAATAAAGGCTTCTTTTTCCCTTTTTCTTACAGTCCTTTTATGAACATCAGGAGATCTGCAAAGATCATCGCTCTATACTTATGGATGCTTTTGGTCATCTTGGTAAGGATCAAAATCATGGAAATGGTTTCTACAAGTATTATTTTTTTCTTGGTTTTCATCAAAGTGCCACACTTCACTTAGATGTACAGAAAATAACAAAAGAGATTTCATGTGCAGGACATACCCATCAAGTTATTTAATGTATGTTGTGGCATAGAATGCTCTTGTTCAAGGTTTTTGTCAGCCATGCCCAGTTCCAGGATATTCCACTCCATTTCTCCTATTCAATTATCTGTTTGTGTAAGGATCTGCCTCAACTAGTGCTCTCAAGAAAGCAGAACTCTTGAAATTGGCATTGTTTCAACAGGAACTTTTATTGAGAATTAGTGATAGCAGTAGAGCAAGGCAAGATCTAAATTTCTCCCCTGCAAAATGTCACATTAAAACTGCCCTTTCAAACCCTCCCCAGTGTCCAATCATCCATAGGTGTGAAGTGTGAACTGGAGAGCTAAAATGCAGTTCTCAAGGTTTCAGTGCCGCCGTGGTCCCATCTCATCCAAACGGAGATAAGGCAGATGGCCGCAGGCACATTCCTCCCACCTTTTACACCCATAGAGGGTCACTTCAAAGAAGATAGAAAAAGCAAAGGAAATATATATCTAAGCCCGCAGAAACTCCCCCATCCCCACAGAGAAAACCTCCCTCCTCCCAACAGAATGGCAGTACCTAAAAATGGAATATACAAGGAAGTGAAATGAATTAAATGAAATGAAATGGATTAAATGCATTGAGGGTCTGACAGTTAGTTTTCTTCAAAAGCCACAGTGGTTCCATGGGTATAGAGCATGTTCTGTCTTCATTGTGCTACTTCAAAAGTTTATTTTCTTCCCCTCCCCTCTCCTCCCCTCCACCACCAATAATTTAGAGACTTTTTTTGTTCTCCTGATGCATGGATAATGCAAATTTGACTACAAAATGTTCAGAAGACTGATTTGAAGAACTGTGTATGTATATGTGTCAACGCTGTGACAATGGATGTCAACGCTCTGACCACTGAGAATCAGCAGCCATTTTACTTTTGCTTTTAACATGCCTTTTCTGTTCTTCTAGAGTTCAGATGTAGAAGGGGGGGATGGGTTAAATGCTTGAGGGTTTAGCTAGCCATAACAATGCAGAAGTGTAGGAACTCAAGGACATTGTCTGATAAGGTTTTGGCAGACTGAGGAGCTGGAGAGAAAAGCCCATGTTTTGCGCTAATTGGAGAATGTGATTTATGACAGCTTTTGTAGGATGGGAAATGCAACTTGTTACTTTGTATCTGGGGGGAGGGAATCTCAGTCTTGAGTTCAACTATGTAAGTGCCAATACTTTGCTTCCTGAATAAAATGTTCTTAAGGGAAGAAAACCTTGCCTTGAAGTCCTTTTAATTGGTTTCATCTATTTGAACCATGACAATATGCATCTATCTATCTATCTATCTATCTATCTATCTATCTATCTATCTATCTATCATCTATCTATCATCTACGAATTCAAGAACAGCAAAAAAATTTCTTTCTCTTTCTCATCTTTATCTCTATCTCTCATTTTTCAGTCTCCTGCTGTCCTGTTGATGCACAAGACTTCTTGCAGACTCAGATGAAAGATGCTGCAGAAGATATTCGTGTTGGATTCTTAAATAATTTAAAAATGATTGTGAGCCATGATGAGAGTAAGTAGCAAGTACTATTCTCCAAATAATATCAAAAAGAGAATGCATCACATTTATGCAACACCCTTTACTTTATGCACAAACAATCCCTAGCCCTGAAATTATTGCTATATTGTTCCCAGGAGCTCCTGCCAATGTGAACAATGAGGAGGGATGCTGTGAACCATAGTTCACTTACATCTTAAAGGCCAGCTCCCCATTCTGCTTTAGAAAAAGGATGGATGAATGTGAGGATTTAGTTATTTTGTTATTAAACCTTCACCATACCAAGATCCACCAAGGAATGCAATCAGTAATTCAGATATTATGGAACAAAATGTCTCTGCGCATTAAATTTTAACCAGGAAGTAACCAAACTAAACTTACACATATTAATTCATGATTATCCTTCAAACTTTCTTTGTTTCCAAACAATTACATGTTTGTCTGTTGTGTGTTTAGAGCCTTTTGTTGCCACTGTGATTTACACTAATGGGACTCAAATTGTTCCTAGTAAAATCCAACTTCAATTCATGGTGAATCTTTGGTTATTTTCAGTATATGAAGCAAGAAACAGAAAGCGTCCAGTTGTAGAAGCCGTGAAATGCCTTCTGGATGACCATAGTGAAATGGTAAAATAGTGAAATGGTAAAATGGTAGAAACCTATGAAAAAACCATACAAGTTCAGATCAAAAGCCTATAGAAAATTGCACCAGTTCATGGCAGGGTAATTCAGAAAACTTTCTTAAGATGGTATTCTTTCTGGAAGAAAATTCCAGAATTTACTATGTACTTTGTGAAGTAGCACCTCCTTGGTGATATCTTAAATTACCCACCATTTAACTTTACAGGTAGTCCTTGTTTAGCGATTGCCTCATTTAACAACCATGTGCATTTTAGAGAGTGGTAAGAAAGTAATTTTGCAACCAGTCCTCTCATTGTCCCAAAGGTGCTTTTTCAGGAGGCAACTGGACTTTCTTGTTTTTCTTTGAAGACGTTTCACTTCTCATTCAAGAAGCTTCTTCAGCTCTGACTGGATGGTGAGGAATGGAAGGATTTATATTCCTTGCAAACAGTCATTTGCATTCTTTTAGAGGGTGGTTGAGGCCATTTGAGGTTTACCTATGTCCTCAGGGTCACCTGAGTGGTGCAAATGTATGTGGAGACTTCTTGGCTGCAGGATGTTTTCTGCCCTGGGTCCCTTCACTGTTGAAGACATGTGCAGACTGTTGGGGATGAGTCTGTGTTGTCTGCATCTCAAACTGAAACGCAAATGGTTCCTGTAGTCTGCAACGTTTTCTGGAAATCCGTTCATACTCCCGCACCATTCAAAGGTTATTCATTCCAAAGTGCATAGCTAAATGTCTATGGAGACAGTCTCAGTCAAGCAGGTTATGGTTGTCTTAAAGGCGCTTTTTCAGGAGGCTGCAACCAAGAAGGCTCCACACCCATTTGCACTACTCAGGTGACCCTGGAGACACAGGTAAACCTCAAATAGCCTCAACAACTCTCTAAAAGAATGGAAATGACCAGCTGTCTGCAAGGAATATAAATCCTTCCATTCCCCACCATCCAGTCAGAGCTGAAGAAGCTTCTTGGATGAGAAGCGAAACGTCTTCAAAGAAAAACAAGAAAGTCCAGTTGCCTCCTGAAAAAGCACCTTTGGGACAGCCATGACCTGGATGACTGAGAATCTCCATAGACAGTCCTCTCATTTTATGACTTTTGCAGGTCTGCAAAATAAAGAAAGCCACAATACGATTATAAATTCATGCTATTGCACTTGCTCAACGCTTTGCTTAACGACTGAGTTACTAGTCTCAGTTGTGATTGTTAAAGAAGCACTGCCTGTATTGATAAAAACTGGGGATGAATGGATTCATTAGGAATACTTCATTAAGTTTACACATAGTCTTGTTTAATTGTGCATGGGATTTTTGTAGTGCATTTAGATTTTTGTCATTGTTTAATTTTGTATTTTGTAATTTTGTATTAAGGTTTTATATTTATATATATATTCTGTGTCTGTATCTGTGTCTGTGTCTGTGACTGTGTCCATGTGTCAAATTTCTCCTACCTATCCAAGCACCCGCTATGGCCTCAGAATTTCTTGAATTCTTCAAGCTCTTGGCTGCAATTCTAATTTTTGTTGCCAAATTAGAGTTTGTTTATTTATTTATTTCTATATCAAATTTAAAGACTGCCAGCCGCACTCACAGAGCAACTAATCTGATAGAAGAACAAATGATTAATTAAATATGTGACTGGCTGATCAAATTAATTGTATTTAATTCTAATTAAGTGAAATTTAAAATTAAATTAAAATGGTCAGGTCTTATCCAGTTCTTTTGTCCAAGTTCTGCCTCCTTCTCTAAAGTTGGAACATCAAAAAAGGTGTGTCCCCTTGCTCCCAAAGGGTTGTTCTTGCAGTCCTCTGAGCTGGTGTCCTATTATTTCTCTAGAGGAGGGAATTGCTTTGCAGAAGTATTCAGCCCTAACTCTTCTGATTTGCATTGTCCTCACTAGCATGGCTATAGACTCACCATTTGGCAAAAGTTTACGAAAGCTATTTATGGGGTCCTATAAAGATTCTGCAGCATTCAAAGGTAATAATTACCATCCTCATCTACATCGTCATCTTCTGTCATTCTTTGACAGGTGAGGAAAGCTACTCTGTGCTTTATTAAAGAACTTCTTCGCTCTCAAAGTGTTGAGGGCTGTGCTGTGTGGGATATGGTTGACTACATCTTCAAGCAGTTTACCATGTCAGTCAGCCTGTCAGTGAGTTGAGCACTAGATAGCTAAAATATTTTTAATCTGGCAACTACAAAATATGAGGGTGGAAGCTGTTGACTTTCTTCAGGTCTATGCTAAACCATCTATGGGACTATTTAGGGAGCTGCAAATGTAGACTTGAATCCTCCTTGGTTGACAGGAATGGCCCAGCCCAGCTAGAACAAGCATCAGCCCACACATGACAGTAAAAGCAAAGAATAAATAGCTTTCCAGCTGAAAAACTCTTAAGATACCTAAGAAATTTTCACAACAGGCACAGCAGTCTATTTCTGGGATATTGGCTCACCTATTTCAAACATTTCAGGTTTATCCATTTTTACTACTTTTAAGAAGTTGAATCAAACACGTCTACTACAGTATTCCACTTTGAGCCCTTTGGGTTATGTAACAGTATCAGCTTCTTTTACAGATAGTCCTCAACTTACAACATTTAGTGACCGTTCAAAGTTACAATGTCAGTGAAAAAAGTAACTTATGACCGTTTTTCACACTTATGACCATTGCAGCATCCCCACGGGCACGTGATCAAAATTCAGATGATTGGCAACTGACTCATATTTATGATGGTTGCAGTATATGGGGAATCTTGTGATCCCCTTTTGCGACCTTCTGACAAACAAAGTCAATGGGGAAGCCAGATTCACTTAACAACCATGTTACTAATGTACCAACTGCAGTGGTTCACGTAACATTTGTGGCAAGAAAAGTTGTAAAATGGAGGAAAACTCACTTACAACAGAAGTTTTGGGCTCAATTGTGGTTATAAGTTGGGGACTACCTGTACTCTAACACATAGTTTGAAATCCTTGGAGGAAGCAGGACTTTTGGCTTTTTCCTTGGGATCCCTTTACTGCTCATTGTAGAAAATCAACCATTCCAATTTTTGTGAGCTGAATGCAGCATTGAAGCCAAAATGACCCACGCCATTTGCTTCCTCAAGAGAAGGACAAGGTGGCATCTCCCGCGTTCTCAATTCCAAGTGTAAAAGCTGACTAGCCCGGTAACTGCATCTGAATGCAATACGGTCACCTGCACTCTTACCAACTGCAATCCTGTCATTGTTTCTTTGCCCACGTAAAGAACCATTGCAGTACAATGGTGCACCATTTGCAGTACAATGAGCACCATTTAAGCAAGGGACATAGTGATATGCACAGTACATGCTGGAGGTTATGGTCAGGGTTGGCTGCTTCCTTGGCTGCCTGCTCATTCAGAGGGCACTTCCTAGTAACAATGGGAATCATTTCTGCTGTCCTTGGAATCCACCATCTCATTCAGGAATGGGACAACTTGCCACAGCCAACTCGCTGCAGCCAACTCACCGTGGCCTACTTGCTGTGGGACAACTCGCCACAGTCAAGTCGCCATGGAACACTCGCTGTGGGACAATTTAACAATTCTATTTAATTATTTAAAATAAATAAAGGTTATTTTAAAATTTGTTATTCACATTTCTTTCCGCCCACATCCTTTTGCATCCTTTCTTTAATGATTCTATTCCGCCATTTCTTTGATATTAGTGTAACTCTTGTCCCGCGGCGAGTTGGCCTGTGACAAGATAGCCATGGTGAGTTGTCCTGCAGCGAGTTGGCTGTGGAAGGGTCTAAAATCTAAAATTGCTAGCCTTGCCAGGTAGTCCAAACCAGAAGCCCAACCAGGAGTGCTAGCTCTCTCTTTATTGTAAGGTTACTTGCAAGTCTGAAAGAACCCCTACCATCCCTCACTACTACTCGCCCCAAAACTAGGGAGGGTCCCTTCTGTGAGATGTTCCCTACCCTTCCTCCTTCACTCAAATTACATTTATTAAACTGCTGTCTGGACTCTTCCTCCTGTCTTCCCAGATCACTCCCACATACCATTATAATAAACCAGCACCTTCAGTGCAATATATCCTAGGTCAGATCTATTTACATATTTCTTCATAGCAATTGAAATGAATATTCAGGTTGTCTTTCTTACTTGAATATAACCTTATAGTGCATCTTCTTTGTCAAATTATTCTCTCATGCATGTTGCTATCACAGGGGAAAGATCCCGTTGCTATTCAAAAGGAAAAGTTGAAAGAGGAGCATATTCAAGATATGTGCATTGATGTCTTGGAACATGTGAACGCTTCTGCAGAAGGCATGAGTAAAGTAAGTACCCTTTATGTAGACCTTTTTAAAGAACAAATGTTTCATTTAGTTCATGCGTCATGTTCCCTTAATCAAATTACCTGAAAAATGTAGAAAAAGCAACAATTTCCTCCATTCTGTTTGGGATGTGTCTGCATCTTTCTCAGACTTTTGCTTTCCAGTCAAAGCACTGCACAATTAAAATATTATGTTAACAAAAGAAAAATACTACATGAGATGTTATTAAATTAGTAAAGTTTTTAATAGCATAAGTGAATTGAATAGAATAAAATATACACTTATTCTGGCAGCAATAAAAGATGCTTGCAGTTACCTATTCAGTTATGGGCCTGACAGATTTATTTGCTTCCTTATGAATCACTGCTCATAAGTAAGATCTTATGGAAAGGCTTTTCTTCTTGCATGATATGTTTAAGAGATGAATGCTGAATCTCTAAAAGGGATTTTGTTTTTACACAGTAGTACCATAGCTTTCGATTCTTCTTAAATAGCTGCCTTAAATTTTGTGAGGTTTCACTGTTAAGTAGAGCTCTTACTATTGTTGCATGATAAATAAATAATTGTGCCAGATGTTGGTCAGTCCAACCTCATGATTAATTTTATATCTGTTAATATTAAACATGCATAACAGCGGAATGAAGTCAGAATTATTTGAAAGTCAGGTTAGTTTTTGCTGTCTGGTGATGTTAAGAAAATCAGATCAAAAAGAAGGCAACATTTCCTTCCTCAACCTGCATCCATCAAAGGAAAAATGGGCAAAGTAGCATTTAGCAAAGTGTTGCTCATTCTTCCCACTTTTGCGGAAGAAATATTTGCTTTCAAATACTGGTAATCCTTGACTTATGACCATAATGGAGCCTGCCCATTATAGTTGTAAATCAGGGTAGTTGTAAAATGGATCAGCCTTATGACTGACCAGCTTTTGTAACCTTTTTTGTGGTGGTCGTTAAGCAAACACTGTGGTTAAACAAATATGGCAGTCATTTTGCTGACTCACTGTTTGCTCTGGAGTGTTTTTGCCGAAAACCAGAATTAAATGCTGGGTTTTGGCAAAAACTTAGCAAATTGCAGTCACGTAATTGCAAGATGGTTCAAATGGACATAAATGCAGGTTGATTGCCGAGTGTCTGAAATGGAGTCATATGACTGTGAGAAGGGGTCCCAGCCATCAGAACTTCAGAACCAGCTCGTAATTATTTTTTGAGATGGAGAGGCCCATTGCAAACAATAGCTAAGACAGGGGTCCCCAACCTGTGGGCCATGTCCCACTATTGGGCTGTGGCCTATTTGCAACCGGGTCGTGTGAGCATGCGGGCACTCACAGCCCCACTTGCATGTAAATTAAGGATTACCAGAATTCACTTTAATCCTGCACATTAATCCTAGAAGTCTGGTAGAAGAAAATGGAATGATTAATGAAGAGAAGGACGAGGGGGGACATGATAGCAGTGTTCCAATATCTCAGGGGCTGCCACAAAGAAGAGGGAGTCAAGCTATTCTCCAAAGCGCCTGAAGGCAGGACAAGAAGCAACGGGTGGAAACTAATCAAGGAGAGAAGCAATCTAGAACTAAGGAGAAACTTCCTGACAGTGAGAACAATTAACCAGTGGANTATTATTATTATTATTATTATTATTATTATTATTATTATTATTATTATTATTATTATTATTATTATTATTATTATTATTATTAAAGGCCTGAAGACTATAACATACGAAGAACTGTTGCAGGATTTGCATTTGGCTTGTCTAGAGAAAAGAAGGACTAGGGGGGACATTATAGCAGTATTCCAGTACTTGAGGGGCTACCACAAAGAAGAGGAGATCAATCTATTTTCCAAAGAAACTTAGGGCAGGACAAGAAACAATGGATGGAAACTAATCAAGGAAAGAAGCAACCTGGAATTAAAGAGAAACTTTCTAACTATGAGGACAATTAATCTGACAGCTTGCTGTCAGAAGTTATGGGTCTTCATCACTGGAAGTTTTTAAGAGACTGGACAGTCATTTATCTGAAATGGTATAGGGTCTCCTGCTTGAGCAGGGGGTTGGACTAGAAGACCTCCAAGGTCCCTTCCAGGTCTGTCCTGATTGATTGAATGTGAACAGAATAAATACTGATTCCTGTCTCCCTTTTTCTGCAGGCTCTGTGGCCCAAACTCTTAGTCTTTGTGGTGCCAGCTCCTTATACTCGCACTCTGATCCCGCTCTGCAGATGTTTGAAAGAGCTGGCCATCCTTCGGCCAGACGAATCGACTCTTTTCCTGGGCTCATGTAAAGGAGGTTGGTGGATGGCTCTAGACTTAAACTAAGATGGTGCTTCTGTGGAGAGCAATGTGAAATCTGTACCCTCCCCATTAGAAGGCTGCATCAGTAGATGTTAGGGTGGGAAAACCTGCTCAAACAATGGCGAATGCAGTGTCTCATGTAATGGCATAAGGATGTGACACTCAAAGTGTAGAAGAAGCCACCAGGTAAAGAGGAAAAATTATTCAGTAAATATAATTGGACCTGCCCATAGGAGCAAATACTAACATGGGGATATTTACAATAGTTATAAGCATGGATAGCACAATATAGCCATTTCTCATTAATTTATTATACGCTTTTGCCTTCATTGTAACCAAGTAAGAGAGGGATTTGGTTCAATGTACTGTATTTTAAAATGCTAACTGGACACTTCTGCCTCCTGACATGCATATTTATTTATTACATGGCTTCCCTGTATGCAATGTGTTGATTTAGAAATAATGGAGAAGGAGCTTTATTTCTTCCTATTCTTACAATTCTAAATATCCAGATGGCTCTATCAGAATGATGTTTATAGGTGCAAGGTTTTTTACCCCCACAGATAAGCATTTCATTTGGGGAAACCTGTTGAAAGAAACCTCCTTCATATAAATCATATAAATGGGTAAAGCTAGGCTTGCCTTCTCAGTACAAATTGGGCTTTTGGGCAACATATTATCACTACCTTGAATTTTAATGCTAGCAAACATGTGAAATCTACCATAACTTAGTCACGGTCAAAATCAAATGGAGTCTATTGACATTTATCTTCTCTGATCAGAATTCCATATGCTAAAATATTATATCCAAAAAAGGAAATAGTCTTAGAAAAGCTTAAGTTGGGGGAAACTCCCATTTTAAAAATCAGGACTATATGACTAGAGAGAGTAATAATGAGTCATGTTTGGCAGCAAAATTCTAAGTGGGAAAGAATGACCAGACCAGCTATTTGCTGAGCTTTATATGTTGAAAATGGGTCTTGATCACAATTGATGTGTCTTGAGAGCTGCTTAGTTGCTCACTGTATATGATTGAATGATTGGGTCCTACCGAGAAAACAGAGATTGACTCAGGCAATTTAGAGAGTATATACCAGCGTTTCTGGCTGGGGAATTCTGGGAGTTGAAGTCGGCACATTGTAACGTTGCCAAGATTGAGAAACAGTAGTTTATAAGATTTGGATACACATCAAGTGCAGTTCACTGCATGTCAAACCAAAAAGTAGGAGGATTGGAACAGCAAGTCCTGATTGCAAAACCCTGATCTAGACTCATAACGGAGGAGAAAAAATTATTGTTCAGAATGGTGGAGGTACTACAGCAAAGGTGAACAAAAACTTCTTGGCAAGCAAGAAAGGTAAACAGAACAGTATCATGAATAGGACTGATTCGGGCAGAAAGGAAATAGGAAAGGAATTCTGCAGAAACTTTTGAGACTTTGCAGAGGAAACGGGCAAAAAAATTTTTTTGCTGAATAAGAGGCAAAAACAAACAAACACCAAACTGGCCCTGAAGAGCAGATGGAATATAAGGCTTTTTAAAACTTCATTACAGGTAGTCCTTCCCTTACAACTGTAATGCCATTAGGGTGGTAAGTCCTCATGGTCATAAAGTGGTTTACCCATGTGAGCAACACAATTTTACAGACTTTTTTGCAGTGGTCATTAAGGGTATGCTGTGATCATTAAGCAAAGCCATTGTTTGCTATGGGGCATTTTTGCCAAAAACAGAAGTAAATGCCAGTTTTGGGCAGAACATTGTAAATCACAGTCACATGAGTGTGGGACAGTGCAAATGGCAGTAATTTCAGGCTGGTTGCCAAGTGCCTGAAATGCAGTCACATGATCATGGGCGATAGACCGGGCATCAGAACTTCAGAACTGGCTCATAAGTACCTTTTGGGGGGAAGGGGGATCCAGCCTTAGTCAAGGACTATCTGTACTTTGCAATTCCTTACAGCAATGATCAGATACAAAGCATGCCAGTGAATCTAGTGGCTCATGAAGAATAATCTTTCTCAGGAGCATCAATTAGTGGTTTGATAAGAAAACCATTTTGACTAGTTGTTTTTTTTTAAATTGACTTTAAGATTTGTGGGCTTCAGCTCTCAGAATTCTGAGTTTAAAATTGTCCAGTCTGAGAAACTGATCTACAATCAAAGTCTGTGTATAGTGATCACTTCCTATATTTATCCATATATAGGTACAAGTTTCTCTATCACTTCAGATTTTGAAGCAATTAGAAGGAAATTCAACTTCTTGAAAGTTATCCTGGAGAGCAAATTTGGGAATTATTTTAAATGAATAGCAAAATATTACTGCATTCTTTCAAATCTACTATAACATATATTTATTGCTGTTCTCTTTGTAGTAAATCTTCCAAGTGCCCAAGAATTAGTAGCAAGGCTTCTGGTGAGCATTGCTTAAAATAATATATTTTCCTTTTCAAAGTTAAGATTAAATATTTGTAACATGCTCAACATATTAGATTAGATAAACAATGTACCGCTTAATATTGTAACTTCAAAAGGAGTTTGTTATGCATATTATTTCTTGTGCCAGACCAGCCACAAATTTTGGAAACTGGATATTCATTTCAAAAGTAAAGGGATCTATAGCAAACTGAAATCAACTGCTTCCTTTTACAAAGACTGTTGACTTTTGTTTTCAATGAATCACCCAGTCATTTTGAAGTGATACAGACCTTATCTTGATTAATATTATTTTGACACAATCACTAGAATAAATCAATAGTGTGGAAATAATTGAAACATGATTTTTTTTAAATTTACTTTTACATTTGTCATATTCTGGGAAGTCCTGCCCTCTGCCAATCAAATAATTCAGAAAGACAATTTTCTAGGGTATTTATATTTGTCAATTTTAAGATGTGTGGACTTCAACTTCCAGAATTCCCCAGCATGCTTGTTGCAAAATTCTGGCAGTTGAGATCCACCCATCTTAAAGTTCCAAAACTATGTTCTAAAGTGACATCTTATTGTTTTCAGATTATATCATCAAACATCTCAAATTGTATAGGGTCTCCTGCTGGAGCAGGGGGTTGGACTAGAAGACCTCCAAGGTCTCTTCCAGCTCTATTCTGATTGGATTGGATCAGACACAAGAAAGCATTGAAGACCTTTGTTTGATGACATCATCACTATATGTCATCATTTTAGGGGACATTATGGTTTGCTGCAGACCTATTGACTTCTATTGGGGACAGGAGATTCAGATCTGATTGCTAATCTCCCAATACTTAATTCTGCTACCTGTAATATTTATATCGTTACCAAGTTCTTTGGACAGTATAAAGCTCTACTATCATGGAAAATATTCAGATATTTGGAGATTATGTACAAATCTCTGCTTAGCCTTAATAGGTCCTTAGTCCCAGCCCTGATTTAAGATTTCAGTCTTCATAACCCATATGGTTATGTTTTATATTTAAAGATGACTTGGGATGCTAACTCTTTGTTCCATTTCTTACCAATAGGTTTTGGCCTCAAATCCTAATCAAAGAGGAGGTTGGGCGCTTCAACTTTTACACATCCTTCATACCAACATCCATCCAGCAGTCAGGAAACTGTGGGCAAAACAAATCCCTTTTCTTTGGGAATCCTTCCAAGGTTAGTAGAGGATAAAAATAAAATAATGAAATAAAATTAATTGATTCATTCATTCTGTCACTCATCCTAATCTTACTTGTTCTACTAAAGTTCTTTGTCCCTATGGCAGGGACACAAACAGCATGACTTGGGGGCCACATTTAAGTCATCAGTTGTCCCCAGAACCAAAGTGCATACAACTAAAAATGTAGACCTTCTTGGTTTGGTGGTGTTGTAAAACTTGAAAATGCATAAGACATTGAAAATTCTTAAAGTCTCCACCCCAAATAGCAAGAAAATCAGCAGCAGCAGTGAAAAAACCCTGGGAAGATGGGATGTGGTAGAGAGCAGGTAGCAGGGAGGCAGCACTAAAGGTGAGGTAAGATGAGATGAGATGAGATTCATTTTATTGTCATTTTTTACTGTGAGCACACTGGCACACATTAAAAAATGGAATTCTGTTGCCTTCTCTCAGAAGTGTACACATACATAGCACACATATAAACATGCTATATACATACATATGTATATACCTATACCTTTATATATAAATACATATAAATATTAATCACTGTCCATCTTGAATACATAGTGGAAAGAGGAAATGAGAGTTCATAAGGTTGATACTCTATGGAACAAAACTGTGACTGAATCTGGATGTTCTGCTTCGGATACCACGAAGCCTCCTCCCAGAAGGTAACAAGGAAAACAGGTTGTGAAGAGGATGTGTAGTGTCCCAGACAATCCTGTGGACCTGCTCAAGCATTGCTTATATGCTATGTCCTGGATTGAAGGGAGTGAACTTCCAATAATCTTTTCTGCCATCCTCACCACTCCTTATTAAGGGTTGCTATGAAAAAAACGATAGCACAAATAGGTAGATTCATGCTAATCGGTTTTTGCCTGATTTAAATAATTCCCCTGGAGGATGCTATGACTGTATTATAGCCTTTGGAGTTGCAAGTTGAAGACTTTAATTTCCCAGACTATTCAAACTTTTCAAATAGCATTTGAAATTAATTCTTCTGATTTTTCCCCCTTAATACTGGAGTTATAGTGAGAGTGATTTGTTTTATTTTATTCCTTTAAATGGTTTAAAGTTCTTACAATGAACTTACCCAAAATATTATGTATGTATGTATGTATGTATGTATGTATGTATGTATGTATGTATGTATGTATGTATTTTTTTTAATTTGGATTGCTAACAAAGAATTAAGGGAGAATGGAATAGCTATTTCAAGCTACTTAGCTCTCATCAGCCAAACATACCCTTCTGAGATTCGATTTGAAAGATTTTTTTCTCCCATATTTGGGCTGACAGGGTGCATAAAAAAAACCA